CCTCAAGCTATCCCCCTGGGTAGAGTGCTGTGGCATCACAACTCATAGCAATCTCCAACTCCTGGGCTCAAGCGAGACTCCTGCCTCAGCCTCCCAAGAAGCTGGGACCACAGGTGCCCACCACAACGCCTGGCTACTTTTTGGTTGCAGCTGTCATTGTTGTTTTTCGCGGGCCCGGGCTGGATTCGAACCCGCCACCTTAGGTGTACGTGGCTGGCGCCTTAGCCAGTTGAGCTACAGGCGCCGAGCCATAAAAGTGACCTTTTAAGAATCTCCAGGCTTGGCCTTCCTGTAACGTACTGTGTGGAGCCACAGTGCACACTACTTTCCAGATCAGGACTTGGCAAACCTGGGGGCCACACCTGGCTGGTTGGTTTATAAATACAGTTCTTCTGGAAGCAGCTATGCCAATCCCTCTGGGTGCCGTCTGTGTCTTCTTCACCCCATATGGCTGCTGCATAGCCAGGACAGAGACCATGGGATCCACAAAGCCTTGAAGATCTGCTATCTGGCCTTTTACAGAAAAAAATTTGCTGGCCCCTAATCTTGATTGTTATGAACACAAATAACTTTATGGACTAACATAATAAATATTATTACTCAAGTTGGATGGCTTCAAATTCAGTCCTAAACTCAGAGTGCTCATGTTACAATGACTAATCACCATGTACCCTGCGTGGTGCTCTCCCTCTTTTCCCACATGCAGTGACAGCTTGTTATTGTCAAGTCTGGCGACTCCTTAATACCTGTGGCTCTCTTGGTCCTGGGCTTCCATGGGGCTTGCAGCCCCCAGCCTGTGCCCCTCCTAAGACATACACATGACTCCTGGCCCTCAGGCTGGGGTTACAGAGAGGGGTGTAACTAGAAGGTGGACTGGCTGAGGCTTTGCCCCCATCCTCATCGCACCCTTGGGATGCGATGGCATCTCTGTCTGGCATTCTGCAAGTAACTACTCTGCTGCTTTTTCAAGAATGACCCCAAAGCACCTACCAGGGCTGGTGCTGTATGTGAGGACTCTGAGAAGGCGGGTGTCCCAACTGGGATCTCTTTTCCAGGGAGGCTATATACAAAGTGTGCACAAGGTGGAGAACTCCCTGTGCCCCTATGAAGGGCAGCCCCCGCTGGTCTGCCTCCTTGTTGAGCCCCAGAGGACTCTAGGATCTCTCATAATAAAAGGGAAGCCAGTGTTGTGCCAATTAGATTTCTGATGTTGATGGTGGTTTTTTTTTAACATATCTTACTTTTTAAAGGAATCTTTGGTTTGCAGTGACACCAAGCAGCAGGCAGAGAGCCCCCAGATGTCTGGCCCCAGAGCCCCACTGCCGACACCCACAGCACAGGGGCGCGCTCCCACCAGACTTCTCTCCTTTCTGATGGTGTCTTTGGGGGCCTCCTTGTGGTGATGCTGCAGGTCTAAGGGTGGTTCCAACCACTTTTTAAAAACAGAAGACATCTCTAAGGACACACTCTTTTCTCCACTGCCATCACCTGGAGACCAGGCCACCTCTCCTCCCACCCAGTGCCCCAACTGTTGTCCTGCTCCTCTGTGTGCCCCTCAACCCATCTCTGCAGGGCCCCAGAGTGTTCTGGTGCACATGAGTCCTGTCATGAGACCCTTCCTGTGGGTGCTGCACTTGTCACTTGTTGGCTGTGCATGCATCCAGCAGCCGTGTTCCTTGGTGAACTGCAGGGGCTGCCAAGGGAGGGCCAGGCCCTTTGACTGCCCAGGTGCCTGGAGAGTGCCAGATGGGGAGGGCTGTGGGGTTGTGCTGACTGATTCAGGCTGATGAGAGCAAACTCCCTTTCCTGGGCTTTCTCAGGAGCACAGGAGAACACCATAGGGAAATCAAATATTACTGAAGAGGACAGTCCCTTGGTTTCCCAGACCCATGGTAATCACAGTCCTGCCTATAAATGTCCTCCACAGGCTTTACCTGAGAGACAGTCCCTCCTATCACTTCCCTCAGTGTGGGCTCACCAGGAGAGGCAGCAGGGAGGCACAAGGCTGATGGCAGCTTATCCCAGGATCCCTGTCTGCCCCTAGGCTGGTTCTCCTGCAAACTGGGGAAGATTTCCTAAGTCATCCTGAGATGAGAATGGAAAAAGCCCAGACTAGGAGGCTTGATGCACAAGCATGGCAGGGATGACGTGACCATGCAGAACAATTTGAATTCTAACAGCACCTGATTTCTGGAAGGAGAGTTTAAAAGGCAATTTTGACCCCCTATTATAATCTGTGCATGACAACAACAACAAAATCATGGAATATTACCTGTTAAGTGCAAATGCCTGAGCCAAAGATAAAGTTTTTAACCAGAGGTTTCTGTAGATCCAAGTTGGGTGTCGCACAGAACACACATTCTGAAGAGCCCCGGTGAGTCCAGGCACTCAGAGCTGCACCAGAGAGACACCATGGCATAGAGCACGGCTTGGACCCGGCTCCACCTGGGCGCCCACTCACCTGAGGAGTGGTGATTAACACTGCCCCATCGATGCGTGCCGCAGTCAGGTACTGCACAACCGAGAGGTGTTCGTCTGACGTCCCAGGCGGCGTGTCCACGATGAGGTAGTCCACCTCTCCCCAGTCCACGTCGCGGAGGAACTGCTTGATCATGCCTACATGAGGAATTGCAGGTTTGATACTTGTTTTTTCTTCCTTTTCTGTACTTATGATTCTCCTCACAAAAGCAGTCTGTAATCTCTACATGCACTTGGTTTACATGCTAAACTGGCGGTTCTCAACGGGGGCAACACTGCCTTACCTGGACACATTTTTGCTTGTAACAACTAGGCTAGGGTGTGCTAGTGACATCTTGTGGGTGGAGGCCAGGGACACTTGGCAAACCTGGGGGCCACTGGCCCCCAATCTAGACTGTTATGAACACAAATAACTTTGTGTTCATGCAGAGCCGCAGTCCATACTTTCCCTAACAAAGATTTGACATTCTTGGCTCAGAATGTCAACAGTGCCCAGGATGAGGACACTGCCGGCAGGATCACTGCTACGGCAGGCTGGCACTGATCTCACTTCACATGATGCTCACTCTGATGCAAGTAAGCCACTAACAAACCAAGATAAAAATAATTTCTGGGTTCTACAGCTTTTAAGGGGAGAAAACCTCACAACAGATATTAAAGATTACATAATGGAAATCGGCATTTCTATTAGTTCTCATCAGCCAGTGAAGAAAGAAGCAACCACATGATTAAAAAGAAAACACTGTGAAGCCCAGCAGGATGAGAATGCCGTGGCTCTGATGAGACAGGGTGCAGAGAAAACCACGAGCAATCACGCTCCTGGAAGAATGTGAGAAACGAGGAAAAAGAGAGCAGCAAACCGTTTTTCTTGGGTCCCCTCCAGATAACAGCGTCATCAGGACTGCTGAGCAGGAAGCCTACCGACATAACGCCCAGGTTGTCTTCCACGTACTAGAGAGGGAACAGGACGAGGCAGGACACATGTTACTCAAAACCACACAGACAGGCACTTCCCTATGTCTTCTGAGTCTGGCTGAAAAAACTTTTGGGGGGACAAATTTACCAGGAAACCTATAAGTACATTCATTCTTTAAACCCTCAAATCATTTTTGGAAAAGAAGGTGTCATATTGGGGGGGAGGAGCTGTGAAAGAGGTGCTGCAATGACAGTAACTGAAATACACCAGGCACAGTGGCTCACCCCTGAAATCCTCACACTCTGGGAGGCTGAGGTGGGAGGTGGCTTGCACTCAAGAGTTTGAGACCAGCCTGAGCAAGAGTAAGACCCAGTCTCTACTAAAAATAGGAAAATTAGCCAGGCATGGTGGTACATACTTGTAGTCCCAGTATTCAGGAGAGTAAGGTAGAAAGAGCTTAAGCTGAGTTTGAGGTTGTTATGAGCTGGCTGAAGCCATGGCACTCTTAGTGAGACTCTGTCTCAAAAAAAAAAAAACCAACCAACCAACCAACCAACCAAACCAAAAACACATATATTGGCTCGGGGCCCATAGCTCAGTGGTGCTGAGCCACATACATGGGCCTGGCGGGTTCAAACTGGGACCAGGCCTGCTAAACAACAATGACAACTACAACAAAAAAATATCTGGATGTTATGGCGGGTGCCGGTAGTCCCAGCTACTTGGGAGGCTGAGGCAAGAGAATCATTAAGTTCAAGAGTCTGAGGTTGCTGTGAGCTGGCACTCTACCAAGGGCAACATAGTAAGACTCAGTCTCAAAAAACAAAAAACAAGGCTTGGTGCCTGTAGCTCAGTGGCTAAGGCACCAGCCACATACACCAGAGCTGGTGGGTTCAAATTCAGACTGGGCCTGCCAAACAATGACAACTACAACCAAAAAAAAAAAAGTTGGGCGGTATGGTGGGAACTGTAGTCCCAGCTACTTGGGAGGCTGAGGCAAGAGAATCACTGAAGCCCAAGAGTTTGAGGTTGCTGTGAGCTGTGACGCCATGGCACTCTACCCAGGGCAACATAGTGAGACCCTGTCTCAAAAAACAAAACCAACCAACCAAACAAACAAACAAAAAAACCACATACACACACAACAAAAAAATTAGCATACATAAATAAATGTTGTTTTCTTAACTTGCTGAACCAGGGACCAGCAAACTATAGCCCGTGGGGCCAAATCTATCCCACTGTCTGTCTTTGTAAATAAAGTTTTATTAGAACACAGTTGTGGTCATTCAGTTACATATTAGTACTTTTAAGCTATGAATTGAAAATATTTATTGTCCTACCCTTTCCAAAAAAGTTTGGCAATCCCAGGTCTTATCTGGAACCCCTGTGCTTTGACAAATGCCTCAGTAAATATTTGTCAAAATTTGAACTGACAAACAGGCTATTACAACCCACCACAAATATATCACACACATACAACCTTGAAAATTCAACAAAGAGATGAAAACTTACCACTGGAGACCAGCCTGAGCCACTCTGGTGAACCTGTGGGGACATAAGCATCAATACCATTTGTAGACACTGTATATCCTGGTCACACCTGATGACCAAACTGTATGAAGTAGGAAAATAGTTTTATAAAATATGACTCCTGGTCTTATGTGGTAACACTATGTGAATGGCTGGGGATGTGGGTAATGGAAGATACAATTCAATTCCTTTGCTCTCTAAGTTAGGTTATTTGGGGTTTTTTTTTGTTTTTTTGAGACAGAGCCTCAAGCTGTCCCCTGGGTAGAGCGCCCTGGCATCACTGCTCACAGCAGCCTCCACCTCCTGGGCTCAAGCAAGTCTCCTGCCTCAGCCTCCCAAGTAGCTGGGACCACAGGCACCCGCCACAACGCCTGGCTATGTTTTGGTTGCAGCTGTCATTGTTGTTCGGTGGGCCCAGGCTGGATTCAAACCCGCCACCTTAGGTGTATATGGCTGGTGCCTTAGCCACTTGAGCCACAGGCACTGAGCCCAAGTTGGGTTATTTTGAAACTCTCCCTGCATATCTAGTCAGTGAACCAAAGTTACCTGAGTTCAAACATAATTTTGGATCTGAGGCATCTTAAAAGAGCAATAGAAATCAGTTGGGGGGTGTTGAGAAAAATGCAGGTAACGGTGGAGCTATGAGGTTGCTCCTGCAGAAGCCCAGGAATAGAGGAACTTGCCCTCATTGAGACAGCTGACTTAAAGCCTGCCCTGTCAGAGGCCGGAGCTTCAACCCCCGGGGGGCCAAGGGAAGCTCCCTGGGGCTAGGTGGAGACCCAGACCCCTCCCTCCATGTGCTCAGGACCCAAGGCCCAACCTGTGCCACCTCTTTATGGCAAAACTAGGAGCTGAACTACTTCCAATCCCACCTCAGTCTCAGAAATTAGACTTTTTTAGAGCAATACGTGGGAGCTAAAATCAAAGTCTATTTTTCTTGATGAAGTCCTACTTTTCTCAACAGCTTTACTGAGATATGTATGATTTGCAGACCACACAAACCATCCACTGTCAGTGTGTAATTCAATGGCTTTCTGTATATTCAGAGGTGTGCAGCTGTCACCCAAATCACTTTAAAGCATTTCCAAGACTCCAGGAGGAAACCCTGACCCTGTGCTGGCCCCGTCCAAGCCCCCCATTCCCCCCACTTTAGGTGGGCCCTCATCCACTCCATCTCTGGGTTTGCCCACTGCACATTTCACATAAGTAGAACCATATCATATGTCCTCTACGACTGAATCTGAAGTTCTTTTAAAAAAAAAACCAAAACTATTCACTCCTATTTTTTACCTGTTTGCTATATCCACTTGTCTTAAAGAAGGGTAACATGGTAATCCAACATCATGTTACAGGAGAGGAAAACACTGGAACTTTGACTTTAATTTATCTTATCATTTAAAAATTTCTATTTCCAGGCTGGACATGGTGGCTGACGCCTGTCATCCCAGCACTCTGGGAGGCCAAGGTGGGTGGATTGCTTGAGCTCAGGAGTTCAAGACCAGCCTGAGCAAGAGTGAGACCCTATCACTACTAAAAATGAAAAACTGAGGCAAGAGGATCTCGAGCTTAAGAGTTTGAGGTTGCTATGAGCTATGAAGCCATGGCACTCTACCCAGGGCAACAAAGTGAAAAAAATAATAATAAAAGAAAATAAATAATTCTATTTCTATAAAATACTCATGTGTGATTAAAGTGACTTATACCCACTTTGGGTGTGTATACTACCAAACATATTATCAACGGGGCACTCGATCCCACTGCTCTGCTCAACCATGGGGACACCACTCCCCTTCTCTGCTCCCTCACAAACCAATGGCAAGGCCTGCCCCCATCTGCATCAAGCCACCATCCAGCACCACTGCCCACTCTGCCAAGGATGTGAGGACAGCCAGGGTCAGGCCCTGGCACTTGTCCCCTCAGCCCAGAATGCTTTTCCTCAGCTCTCTACACAGCGGCCCCACCCTTCACCGGCTGCTCAAATGCCACCCCTCCCACGTAGCAGCCCCCGCTGCCCAGCCCTGACTGTCCCTTACCCTGGGTTAGTTTTGTACGATCTACCACCTTCCCTCTGCCACACAGGCAGGGGACTCCATCAGCCTGTTTCACCACTGCATCCAAAATGGGGCCAAATACCAGTTAAAGGATAAACCAACCTTGAAACTGCAGGGACACTTCCCCCTTCACCCCCTTCCATGCCCTCCCCTGGGAGAATCCTTTCTTGGAGGGCTCTGGCCAACCAGCGGAAGGGACCAGCTTCTGCATACACTGCTGCAACTCTGCTCCCAGCCCACGTCCCTCAACCACCTCTCAGTCTCAGTTCCCCAGGGGAGACCACAAAGGCAGAAGAAATATTCCCTTGTTTCCAGGGTAGAGACCCCTAGCAAACCCTGGTCTAGTGCTCCCGGTCAGAGCTAAGTTTCCGTGTCACTTCTGCATTTCACTTGCTGTTTCCCTTCCCCTCTACAAAGGCATCGAAACCAATGCTTCTCAAATGCTATGGATGGACTTTATTATTTATTTATTTATTTATTTTGGCTGGGGCTGGGTTTGAACCCACCACCTCTGGCATATGGGGCCAGCGTCCTACTCCTTTGAGTCACAGCAGCGCCCAGGACGGACTGTATATACAATCTTACCCCCCACAATTCAAAGCTGTTGTAGTCAGATGAACTATGGAACATTTATCTGGGCTCATCAAGTCCACATAAGACTTTACAGGCTCTGCTTACCCTTTGTTTAGGTTCAACAGCTCAGTACTATTCAGTTCACCTTAAGAGAATAATTTCCTGAATGTTACAACATAGCTATTACCTGTTCTCCTTCCAGTCCCATTATCTTGGGGATGGACGGCCCACATATATCAATGTCCAGGAGAGCAACCTGGGGAACACAAGAGACCAGAGCAGTCACACAGATGAACTGGCTGAATGCACAAACCCCAGATACGCAAGCTGGGAGGGGAACAGGATGAGAGGAACAGGACAGGGGAGAAGACAGAAAGAAAAAAGAAACTGGGTCAGACTTAGAGCAGTTGGACTCTCATGAGAGTATTAACAACCATCTCCAAGTTCATCAACGCTGACACCCTTCTGAGTGTGGCTGAGGTCACCTCGAGTGATCTTACAGACCTGGGTGTCAGGTCACTTGGAGACTCAGGTTCAGCCATTGTTTACTCCACCCTTGCCATGTGCCAAGGAGGTAGGTACCACCACTTTGCTTTAAAGAAGAGGAAACACAGGTTCAAAGAGGGCTGGTGACTTGTTCAACGAGCAAGGAACAGAGCTAGAACATAAATCAAGTTCTTCTGACCAGCACTTTCCACTACCCTATGGGGCCAAGTGAGCAGAAATCTCTAGCTGGCTCTGACCAAGCCCTATTTTCCTGTGATCCTGAAGGTTAGCCAGGGCTTAGGCTAAACTACCAAAACAGAAACTTAAAGAAAGAAGGAAATCCAAGACAGCCCTTTACTAGCGACCTAGGCACAGCCTTAGATGCTCCTTTCACCCTGGAACGCCTGGCTGCCCACTCTAAAACAGGTCTGGGAAAGCCCTCAGGAAGGCTTGCGTTTATTTTGAAAGCTGTAATGTCTCAGATCCGCAGCACCGCTGGGTCATTTTTAACTTGCTCCAAATTTGTTTCTTGCTTGCCTCTTCAATCCTCTCAACAAACCTAACTTCCCACCTCCTTGGCACCATCTCCAACCTGCGGGCAGGAAAACTGCACCCATGAGATCAACCACTGGACCACCTGGAGAGCACCCCAGAGGGAGGAACTCCATCTGAAAACTGCTCTTCTTCTGCCCTCTTTGACCTTGAGGTGTTAATGATCCACAGTTGTTCCCAATATGGGACATCGTGTCATCTATATGACCCCGATGGAGTCTCTCCTCAACTCCTTTGGCTTTCTAGCCCTTGGTCTCCATGGCCTTTCCTCTGGGACCAATTTAATCAGTTTCCTCCCAAGGAATTACACTCCTCACAATCAAGGGAGTCCATCTTGAGTGAAAAGAGGCAGGGATGAAGGAAATAGACCCAGTGCACTCACTCCCATGGCAGTACCTGAGAGGCTGTTGACACATTTCTGCTGCCCACATCACTGGAGGGGCAGGACGCGGCAGGGCTACAGGAGCCCAATTTGTGCCTCTAGCTGGCACCCCAAACTTCCCCTTCCAAAGAGGGCAGGGGAAAGGGTTCTGGTGCCAGCTTTTGGTCCTCCACTGCTGTGCCTAAGTTGCTTCTCCTCTGTAGGCTTTGTGTGTCTGAGCTCCTGATCTGAAACAGGGGCTTTGGAATCACTAAGGTCCCTTCCCGCTCTAGAGTTTATAAGCCCCAGAGATAAGCCTCAAATACTGCAGTCTCAAAACACTCAGTGCTGACCTTTTAATGATAGTTCACCTCTCAGATCCCAAAGCAAGATAAATTTGTAATTTGTGCGAGTTGGTGACTCTCCTGACTCAGGCTTAGGGCAGCGGTTTTCAACCTGTGGGTCACGACCAATGAAAATACATCCTGCATATCAGATGTTTACATGACAATTCATAACAGTAGCAAAATTACAGTTATGAAGTAGCAACGAAAATAATTTTATGGTTGGGGGTCACCACAACATGAGGAACTGTATTAAAAGGTCTTGGCATTAGGAAGGTTGAGAACCACCGCTGTAGGGGATCCCTCACCTTCATCACAACTTACACACCCCTCACCTGCCTGTGATTAGTGAGGGGTGTTTCCAGTTCTACTCCCTCAATCTAAGGCCCTTTACGAATGAGATGACAGACACCTGCCTGCCTCAAGTGCTAACATGGAATCAACTAGCACACAGGGAGTGCTAAACTCCCACTGGACAGCAGGCAGGGGAGGGACTGGGTGTCTCCTGCTGTCCTGCTGGATTGAGGGCAGGCAGAAATCTGTGCTGCGCAACTTTAATCAGCAAGACATACTCAGACTTACTAATTGCTAACAGTGTGCACAATCTGGAGACAGTGATGTTCACTGTCAGAAAGTAGGTATGTCCAGGAAAACTTTCCTAAATGCTGACTTCTTTCTTTTAAACTACCACAGCAAAAATAAATATAGCTTATCTAGTCACATTTCCACACTGCTTTACTTCCATATACTGCAAAGTCTAGACATGTGTGCAGCAAGGACCTCAGAATATAATTTCATGGAAGTGAATGATGTAAACAGTTGTCTACTCACAAGTGGTTATTTGGCAACTGGGTGCTGGGTTAAAGCCTGTCTCCAGAGCTACTTAAGAATATTCCTGGCATGGTCAGGCCTTGTGGCTTACATAATCCTAGCACTCTGGCAGGCCAAGGCAGGTGGATTGCCAGAGCTCAGAGTTCAAGACCAGTCTGAGCAAGAGTGAAACCACTTCTCTACTAAAAACAGAAAAACTAGCCAGCCGTTGTGTCGGGCACCTGTAGTCTCAACTACTTATGAGGCTCAGAGAAGAGGATCTCTTGAGCCCAAGACATTGAGTTTATTGTGAGCTATGATGCCACGGTACACAACTGAGGGCAACAGAGACAGATTCTATCTGGAAAAAAAAAAAAAAAAAAGAAAGAAAAGACTATACCTGAAAGCTTCCAAAGGCAAAGATCATTCTGGAGTACATGGACAACCTGAGAAAGCAGATTTCCCAGCCAGCCCACTAGTCAGTATGAATCTGACCCTCAAATGACAAGAGATTGTTAACTAATAGAACAAAGGATTGACAAGAATATTTTGAATCTGCTTGGTTCAGTACTTAGGGGTAGGCTGCAAACTCATCGTAAAGGAAAAACAATCATCATCCCTTCACATTCCAGTTAGAGGAATAAAGTAATAATACTGACTGCTATCATGGACATTTACTGACCAATCACTTAGCTAAGCAGGCTAAGGGCTTTACAGGCATCACTCCACTCAGTTCTCTGTATCCCACTTTACAGATGGGAAAACTGAGGCAGAGTGGGCTCAGTAACCTATCCAAGGTCATAGCAGCGGAGCTAGGATATGGATCTGAGCTGTCCTGTGTTCTTAGCTACCAGTCACACTTTTTATTAAAGATGAGATCCAGAGAAGAGGACTGGTTAATCTGAATTTTCATGTGCATCTGCATACTTACATAGAAATGAATGGCCCAGTGTGAAGGTCAGCAAACATTTTATGCAAGTGCCAAATATTAAATATTTAAGGCTTTGTGGGTAAAATCAAGGATATGTAGGTACTTATGTTACAATTTTAAAGTAACCATTCTTAGCTCCTAGACCATAAAAAAACAGGAGATGCGCTGGATTTGGCCCCTGGCTATAGTTTGCAGGCCTCTTGCTTAGAGGAAAGCAGAAACCGGTTAATAGATAAAAGTCATCTGAACATAATGTAACAAATTATCAGCATGCAAGGAAAGATATACACCTGCTATCCATTTTCTTGGCCAGGGAATCCAAAGAAATGTTTGTTCTGACTGCTAGGCAAGTTCTTCATTCTCTTCAAGGATCTGAAGTCAGAAGAGTGGCCTACAAGAGGCAGTCTGAGAAGCTAAGCTAAAGCAGTACAGCTGACCCGACAGTGCTTAGCTCACATTCTTTCTCACACCCCTCCCAAGATGATCTAGCTAAGGTTTCATCATGATTGTGAGGATGTTTTTCGAGAGGTAGTCACATATAGACAATAAACATTATGATATGGTTAGAGCAAAAGTTACTTTGATATTATGTTGTTTGCTTTGATGATTCTCTTAGATATTTTGTTAGGGTAAAGGTTACTTTTATTGCTATACTGTTAGAATAAAGGTTACTTTTATGTTGTTTAAACATTTTGCATTGTTACAGTGAATACTACTTTGATGTTTTCTGTTAGATAGTTAAAATTTTCTAGGTTTGCTTCCTTGTATTTGTTATAAAAACTATTAGAGTTATAACTGAGGCAGAACAGAATTGAGGGGCTACTTTTGCTGTTCTCCAAATTGCTAGCCTTCTGACAATAAAGCTTGGTAGACCTAATCCCTATCTCTGTAACTGGCTGACAGTGATAGGCAGCCAGATCCTCTTCGTCTGGTAACAGATCAAGATGCCAATTCAGGTCAGTCTAAGCAATCATTTCTCTAAAGCCATTATGACCCTCAGACAGAAGGAGCATCCCTCATTTTTCTTGGTGTCCCACCTGTGTGTTTTCATCCTCTGCTAGGCCATGGGCAAGGTGGGCGCTGAATGTGCTTTTCCCAACACCACCTTTCCCAGACAACACCAAGATTTTGTGTTTCACAGTCTTCATTTTCTCTTTGATTTCTTCTATGGCTGCAAAGAAAACCAAAGTTCAGGTGATAAAATCACTGACCAAATCCTGAATGTCACTCTTCTAATGGGTTGGAGGGAGCTAAATCCTTGGGAGTGTTTCAAAGGATCCCTGAAATAGCTTAATCAATGGTAGTAACAGAGCTGTGAAGAAAAAAAGTGTATTATCACACTTGAAATCGTCTTGTCTGCCCTGCTAGACATAATCTCCATAAGGGCAGGAGTAAAAAAAGTGTATTATCACACTTGAAATTGTCTTACTTGTCTGCTCTACTAGACACAATCTCCGTAAGGGCAGCTCCAGAAGAGAATTTTGCATACAGTAGAGATTCTCAACCTGGAGGCAGTCCCAAGGACACTGGAGATCTTTTTAGTTGTCACAGGAAGAAGTGCTACTGGCCTCTAGTGGGCAGAGGCCAGAAATGCTGCTAACTGTCCCACAATGCGGAGAACAGCACCCACAACAGAGTGATCTGACCCCAAATTTCAATAGTGCTGATGTTAAGAAACCCTGACAAATAGCAGGTGCTTAATAATAAGTATCAGTCAATTAAAACTATCATCTGTTATACATAGACTGTGCTTTCAATATTTCATCTTATTTCAAATCCTTAAAGCAACTCTGTGAGGTGTAAAGGAAAACAAAAAGTCCCAGGATGGCCCGAACACCTTATGCCAAAGGAAAAGTTAAGCCTGGATACAACATTGTCATCTTTCCCCAAATTGCTCATAAGTTAAATTCTTTGTTTGCCCCTAACATTTCAAGATGTCTAGCCTCCCATAAATATGAATAGCTCAACTGTAACTTCAGGTCTGCATCCTACACTTAACTCCTTACCCAGGACACTGAGGTCTGTTAAGTTTCTGACAAAGTCCATTTCAAGCTTATCAGGATGAGATCAATCAGACGTCCACCTATCTTCCACATCTGCCTGATTCATTCTTCTTTTACTCCCTTTTTTGAATGTTTGCTGGGTGCCTAATTAAATTCTCAAGAGAATGTAACCATTTGCCTCACTGTCTCCTCCTCTCCTCCCACCTTATTCATGATTTTTTCCCCTTTAAAAGAAATATAGAAATACTGAGCCTCCAGAAACCTCTCCAGGGAGCACAGGCACAGAGGTTTCTATGACTTGTGTTTTCTCCGTGCTCCCTAAAGCTCTGGCTCATCAGCCTCCACTGATAGAAATTCTTGCCTCATTCTCTCATGTTGGATGACAGAGGTAACTATTTTTCTTTCCATTTTTGATGAAAAACCAACGCCTAAGAAAGGTTAAGACTCTTTTTGAAGATCACAGTTTGCATCAAACTCCCAAGACTTGAACTCCAAGACTTCCACCAGCCTCCTATTTTTTACAGTCCTTCCAAGTCAGTTCTCGGAGTCCTCCCACCCTCCATAGCACTCAGGGCTGCAGTGAGTTAGCGACTTGCTCACTTGTTTCTGTCTCCCCTTAATTCAACCAAGCTCCACTAGGGCAGTGACCAAAGCTGTGTCAACAGCCCAGTGCACTGTTCCTAGTAGGCGATTAACACAAATTTTCTGTTTAATGACTGGAAAGATCGCTCCTCAAAGGAAGAAAATTCTGTCCAAAGAAGCAAGCAGAGCCAGAATTTAAACCCGAGGGTAAGCCTGCGAGCTGCCTGATTCAAACCTCATCCCGGTTCCCTTTGCGGTCGGCCTCTCTGGAAGATAGCCTATTACTGTCACTCAAACCTCTGGCCCCGCCCCTCATCTCGCAGACTTTTGCCACACCTCGTCGTCTTCGGGCTCCGCCCCTTTAAGGTCCCACGGACTCCTGGCCAGTCCTTAATCCTTCAGGCTCCGCCCTCCATCCCCTCAGAGTCAGTCACGCGCTCCTTGCCTTTTAAAGGTCCCGCCCTCACCCCGCCTACTTTACCACGCCCCCACCTTCTATAGCCCCTGCCCACTCATCCTTCGGGTTCCTTCTCCTTTCTCCTCCGCCCCTTCCGGG